ATAAAAAGCAGAAGCAGTATGAACAAAAGCAATCGGCAGTCGCGGCGATATGAGATGAAAAAACAAAAAAGGAAATTTTTTTAATACCTGGAGCTATTTCTTCTTTGTCTTTTTTATCTTCGCCCAATTGTTCTGGTTTCTCTTTTCATTTTTCGGGATCTATTTTCTCCACCTCATTAGGTATTTCTTCGACAGCTCCTTTAAGTTCCTTTTCGTGGATTACTTCCATCTGCTTTTGTTATTCTATTTTCTACGTTATCCTCTTCTTCCCTGACTGGTTTTTCGCTTTTTTCTTCAATGGACGACTTCTTTTCTGCCATATCACTTTCTTTTTTAAAGTCCTTTTTGGGTATATGGCGTTTTGCATTTATTGTCCGCAAAATTCACTTGATATTCATAGCCCTTAGCCCTCGAAAGCTACGACCAAATCTTCACCGTTTAGAGCCTGACAATTCTGAAACTTTGGAGCACGTTCTGCCTCTAGAATTACTTCTTCTTTATTTTCTTCCAAATTATTTGAATTGTTAGTTACTTTTTGCAACGTTTCTAAAATAGGCAGTTCTGGAGGTTTTTTTACAGGGAAAGGAGACGGTGAACGTGTCAATGATTTGGTACGACAACTACGACGAGTAGGTGTCCCCGGTGCAGGTGAACATAGTACGCCTCCTGAGGAAAATCACAAAATTTATTATCAAACAAATAATATAATGAATACAATGTTAATAACGCTAATGATACTAATAAAAATGGTAATAATAACAATAATAACAATGTTAATTAATAATATTATCAATGTTAATGACAATAATAATAATGCTAATTAATAATAATAATGTTAATAACAATAGCAATAATGATAATTAATAATAACAATAATAATAATAAAAACAACAATAATAATAATAATGATAACAACAACAATAACAAAAATAATAGAAATAATAAAAATAATTAAAATCATTAACATAACAAAAATAATAAAAATAATTAAAATAATAAAAGTACTTAAAATACTTCAAATAATTAAAATACTTAAAATAACTAGATTTAAAATAATAATAAAACAAAAAAATAATGAAAATTATTACATAATAATAATCACAATACAAATAATATAAAAAATACAAATAATACAAATAATAACAATAATAAAAATACTTCATATAATTAAAATAATTAAAATATTTGAAGTACTCAAAATAATAAAAATAATAACAATAACTAAAATAATTCAAATAATGAAAATAATTAAAATATTTAAAGTAATCAAAACAATAAAAATAATAAAAATAACTACAATTTTTAAAAATATAAAAATAATAATAATCGACACAGTAATAACAACAATAATTATAAAAAGAACAAAAACAATAATAAAAATGATTATAAAAATAACGAGAACAACAATAGGCATTAAAATAACAATGATTATACATATAACATAACAAGGATAATAAATAAAATAATTTATAATACATTTATACAATATATAAAAGAAAAAACCCTGAAATATATACAAATTAATAATTACACTTATTCTACACTTCACTTTACATACCCTTTATTTAAATTAACCCTTTACTTTATTATGTACACCGCTTATTATTTATTTTTATTAATAGAATCTCTTCTTTTTTTTTTTGATCCTCTTCTATCAACAATTTTTCACAATTAAATTTTTTTTGAAGTTTCAGTTTGAAGTTTGTGTCAAGTTGTAAAAAAAAGGATTGCCAACATTCATATATCTTTAGTACTAATAGGGTTACCCATTTCTGGTATTATGAAGAAAAATTGGAAATTCCTCCGATCATAAGAATGCCATCTATGCAAATGAACCAAATTGGACAGAGCAGAAGCCCGCAATGTAGAGTAAACTGAACACAAATACGTTTTTCTTAACAAAAATTTCTGGGTTTTTACTCATTACTCAAAAAATTTAAAAAATAGAAGCATCAAATTTTTCACATTTACTTTTTAAAACACTCCACTCTTTGCGTGCAAAAATGCTTATTTATCATAAGGCATACAAGAGAGAATGTTTAAAATTTAAAATTATTTACACTCCGTAAATGTAGACATCTTATCTACCTATACATGAGTTAATACTAAAATGAATACGATAGACAGAGCGATCTGGTGGATCAATTGTTTCTTAATAATACCAGTGACATGAATATCAAGTAAAAGAACTTGCAAAGTAGAATGCAAAGAACATAGTGCTGGGTATGCGAGATTCGTCGTATATAACTTTCTTACTTGTTTTATATTCATTTCTTTTTGACGAGACTCTGTTTGCATTTAGGTTCTTTCGCTTCTCAGCGACATTTTTTTATTAAAATATAAATTGTCTAAAGATGTCGCACTGTTCTGCATGTAAAGATTAGATGCTTAGTTGATTCTGCAGTGTGGCATTCATCACAAATATCAGATGCAAATGCCTCGATACTTTTTAGGTAGATGTTATGATATTTATGATTGCTCATGAGTCTATTGAGCGTTCTACTTTCCCATCTTATAACCTTGCCATTCGGCAGGGGCTAAAAAGTCAAGAAAAGATGAATCTTATAAAAAAGACCATCAATTTTTTCCTGAGAAATTTCATGATAGTCACCCGAATCAGAGAGATAGAATAATTGTTTGAAAGGATTCCACCATTAAATTGAGCTTCAGTGGATACCAGCCTCTTCATTTAACTTGAAACCGCTGTGGCCTAGTACTCAGATCAAATGGCATTCTTCAAGGAGAGGATTATTTAAAATATTATTGATCTCAAAAACATATATGTTGGGCGTATCTTTGTTTTTGATTAACATCAACACCGATTTTCTGTCAGAGAAGAAGACGAACTTTTTTGCTGTTGCATTTAGCAGAAACCGCAGACTTTCTGCCAGCAAGGAGCTCAAGAAAGGTGGAAGTTAGTCCTTCCAGGGCTTCGAATTAACCTAGGAGTATCTCTGGATATCTGACTACCGCAAAGTTGGATGTCCCAAAATTTGCGAACAGTCTGTGGGATATATTATGAAGTCGCTTCCTAGACAGAAGTATAATTTTTGCAAACATACGGCTCGAAGATTCGAGTGAAGCTTTTTGGAATAAGCTATAGATTTGAAAATATTCAAATTTTTCGTGCTAGTAATTGTACACATCTCAAACAGATGACTGCTGGTGTCTTTTTTCTACTATTTTTATTGTACAAATAAGCAGCCTATGCTTGTAGTTCATTCTTCTGGAAAATTTATCTGGAATTCGACAGTACTATACTAACTACCGATAAATCTTTGCCACTTAAGAGAGGGGATCTCCATCAATCAGCCGTATAATCCTCTCGTTTTTCTTAGAAATTTATCAATTCATCAGTTCACCTTTCAACATCACAACCGATGAAACATCACATCAGAGAAATTTCTACATTTCACGTTACTTGTGTACAGGCTTCTTACTTTACAGGTCTTAACACTAACCCTCACGAAAATCCATTGAAGAACTCAAGTTACGAAAAAAATAAACAACAGCGTAAATTATCACCAAGCGTGGATATAAAAAAAAAAATTTCAAATATTTTTAGCTTAAGAACAATTATATTACGTCGTTTCTTGAACAAATCCTTATGATAATTACCTTGAATACTATTAAGTGTTGATTCTTTCATTGCATAAACATGTCCGACCTTTCCCTTTTTTTCAGCAAGGCGACGTTTTAATTCATCTTCATTGGGTAAACAAACAACAGCAATTCGCTTGAAGTCGCATCAATCCGTTTATTGCAATCATCTTCGGTAGAAACTCTTTCTTGCTTCGTTTCTTTCATGACTTAATTATCCGAAATAATTATATAAAATTCAGTTTATTAGTAATTTAAAATTGAATATGTAAAAATGTCTAAATGTCCCTAAAAAAAATTCACATTGTACTTTTTGTAAACCGTGTGGAGTGTAAAATAAGTTAAATCAAATTCATCTTAAAGGTGCACATAGTGAGAAAAAGAAAAAAAATTTCAAATAAAAACAGTTTCTCATAGAAGAAATTGGTTCAAAATAGTGAAATTAGAAAAAAAACCGGTGACTTTAAATTGAAGAAAATCGAGAAATTAATAATTGTTTTCATTATTTTATTAGTTAGGAGTTTTTGAATTCTTCGGGGCATCTGCATATCGGTCGTTAACTGAGTTGTTCTTTTGAACGAATCTTCTGTTACTTTTACAGAAAAATATTTTAAAAATATTTAATAAAATATTTAAAGGTATAAGGATTAGCAACAGAAACACGAAAAAAGCAATAAGCGAGGGACAACCATCGAAATATCGAGAACAGATTCAACAGACCGAGCTTACTATCTCATATTTAGGCGCCTGCTAATCAGGCACTCATACAATCACAAAGTTTTCAACGGATTTACGTTTCGTCATTTATTCGACCGACAAAAAAATTGTTTCAACGGTTCATTGACGATAAGTGCATTCATTTTCCTCTTCCTATACTGCCATTGATGCAATATGGGCAATTCTTAACTATATCTTTCAACAACTAAATAATGGATTTAAAGAGATACCAAAAACCACTTTTTCTATAAAATAAATACTAGATTCACTTTAAACCCTTATCAGAGGCTGGTCTTATGATAATCTGTTTTTAAAAATAAATCGTACTGGATGATGTAGTATTTGTTAACTTTGTAATTTGTAAACTTTGCGAGTCTGCTGAACTTTTAAATTTTAGATGCCATAAGGTCGATGGTATTAGAGGTTCTTTTGCCTATTTCACGTTCTATGGTGGCCTCCTCGACTTCTTTGCCGCAAAAAATGTACGTCATCTCCGGTAACTAACCTGCTTTATTAGAAAAGCAAACTTAGCTATTTAATTGGCGATAATTTTTTTTTTTTACATTCAATTAAAATTTATCTCCAAAACATTCCTTTTTCACCCAAAGTTCGCAACACTGTTTTTACATCACTGTCAATAACACATCGGCTTAGCATGTCATAGCCTTGTTTTATGTACATTATTTATTATCTAGACATATAAGCCACAAATATCCTAACTCAACATCCAAGAAAAAGAAAATATGTTCTCTGTGTGTAAACAATCTCATCCAGCCACTACCGTTGAATTTGCAATATCTTGTCGGTTTTTTAATAACAGTGAAGAAAATCTTGTTGTGGCGGGCGCCAATGTTTTGAAAGTTTTTAGAATTTATCCTTACATGGATCAGGCGCAACGCCAACAGAAACTAAGTGCTGACATACGTTCACCGCCTAAAATGCGTTTAGAATGCTTGGCCACATATTCTCTTTACGGCAATGTGATGTCATTGCAAAGTGTTTCATTATGTGGTTCAATGAGGGACGCTTTGCTTATAAGTTTTAAGGATGCCAAGTTATCGGTGGTGCAACACGATCCCGACACATTTGCTTTGAAGACTTTGTCTCTGCATTTTTTTGAAGAGGAGGATATAAGGGACGGCTGGACGGGACGCTATTACGTTCCAATGGTAATGTTTAAATAATATATACTTATAGTCTAATAGTTTTGACTTTTATTTCAAATCTTAAATGTAATTTATTTATATTAGGTTCGTGTTGATCCCGATGCACGTTGCGCGGTGATGGTTGTGTATGGCAAACGTTTAGTTGTTTTACCTTTTCGAAAAGATAATGGACTCGACGAAATTGAATTGGCCGATGTTAAACCGATTAAGAAGGCTCCAACGGCAATCGTAGCACGGACACCTATTTTGGCATCCTATTTAATAGCTCTGCATGATCTTGATGATAAAATCGACAACGTTTTGGATTTGCAATTCCTGTATGGTTATTATGAGCCAACACTGCTAATACTTTATGAACCAGTGCGCACTTTTCCGGGAAGGGTTGCAGTACGCACAGATACTTGCGTTTTAGCGGCGATATCGCTGAATATTCAACAACGTGTTCATCCTATTATTTGGACTGTAACAGGTCTGCCATTCGACTGTCTACAGGTGTTTCCGATACAGAAACCAATTGGAGGTTGCTTAGTTACAACCGTCAATTCCATTATATATCTTAATCAAAGCGTGCCGCCATATGGTGTTTCGTTAAATAGTTCAGCAGATCACAGTACAAATTTTCCACTAAAACCGCAAGATGGTGTACGTATCAGTTTAGATGCTGCCAGTATCTCATTTATTGATGTTGACAAATTGGTGGTTTCGCTACGCACTGGCGAGTTATACGTGCTTACTCTCTGCGTGGATTCGATGCGAACTGTGCGTAATTTTCATTTTCATAAAGCTGCCGCTAGTGTTATAACAAGCTGTATGTGCGTTTGTCAAAGCGAATATTTGTTTTTGGGGTCCCGTTTGGGCAACTCATTGCTCTTGCATTTTACGGAGGAAGATCAAAGTACTGTTATCACTTTAGATGAAATCGAGACTTCTGAGGCTCAAAATTCCAACAGCGATGAAGCTCCTAGAGCGAGACGTATTGAAGACGAAGAACTTGAAGTTTACGGTTCCGGTGCTAAAACATCAGTGCAGCTGCGCAAATATGTATTTGAGGTATGTGATAGTCTACTTAATGTTGGACCCATCAATTTCATGTGCGCTGGTGAGCGTGTAGAATTTGAGGAGGGCGGAAATACCATGCGTCCGCATGCCAATCAGTTAGTCGATTTAAAAATTGATATAGTTGCTTCTAGTGGCCATGGTAAAAACGGTGCTCTTTGTGTTTTTGTGAATTGCATTAATCCCCAAGTGATAACATCTTTTGAGCTTGATGGCTGCTTAGATGTTTGGACTGTGTTCGATGACGTTAGCAAGAAGACTACTCGTCAGGATCATCATGACTTTATGATACTGTCGCAACGTTCTTCAACTTTGGTGTTGCAAACTGGAGAGGAGATAAACGAAATAGAAAATACCGGATTTAGCTGCCTACAACCTACTATTTTCGTCGGTAATTTGGGACAAAATCGTTTCATTGTCCAAGTAACCACGCGTTCTGTGCGTTTATTGCAGGGCAGAAGGCTGATACAGAATGTGCCTATCGACGAAGGAGGGCCCGTAGTGCAGGTTTCCATTATCGATCCCTATGTGTGTCTAAGAGTTTTGCATGGAAAAGTAATAACTTTAGCTTTGCGTGAAACCAGAGGTACCCCTCGCCTGGCTATTAATAAAAATACAATAAGCAGTTCTCCAGCGGTTGTTTCACTGACTGCGTATAAGGATCTGTCCGGCTTGTTTACAACAAAATCCGATGAAGTTTTGAATATTGCGGGCGGTAGTGGTAATTCTCTGTATAACGGATTGGGCTACATGAAAGCTGAACCTCACCTGAAAATAGAAGACGAGGAAGATTTACTTTACGGTGAATCAGGAAACGCATTCAAAATGAACAGCATGGCCGATTTAGCGAAGCAAAGTAGACAAAAAAATTCTGATTGGTGGCGTCGTTCATTAGTGCAAATAAAGCCCACTTATTGGTTGGTGGTAGCTAGAGAAAACGGGACATTGGAAATTTATTCAATGCCAGATATGAAACTCATGTATCTAGTAAACGACGTAGGTAATGGCGGCATTGTTCTTTCCGATTCGATGGAATTTGTACCTGCCACACTCAATCAACAAGACAATAAACAAGGTATACTTCTAAATTGTATGCCCCAGCATGCAAATTCACCTGTTGCTCGAGATATAGCTTTAGTTGGCCTAGGCAACAACGGCAGCCGTCCACTATTGATGATACGAACTCATATAGAGCTGTTGATATATTACGTCTATCGCTATGCAAAGGGCCATTTGAAAATACGTTTTCGCAAATTACATAGTGTGAACTTGATCGATGTGCAACCCACCGCAATGGATCTAGATGACGAAGACTCGGATCTAGATTCATACAATTTGCAAGATCGTTATATAAGCAAGCTACGCTATTTTCCCAATATCACAGGGTTAAACGGTGTCGTTTTATGTGGTCCGAATCCAAGCCTTATATTTCTGACTGGTAAAGGCGAGCTACGTGTTCATAAATTATTTAGTAATGGACTGGTAAGGAGTTTTGCCCCTTTCAACAATGTTAATTGCCCGCAAGGCTTTCTATGTTTCGATACAACATTCGATTTGAAAATTTGTGTTCTACCGCCTTATTTAACATACGATTCACCATGGCCGGTGCGTAAAGTAACACTTCGTTGTACGCCACGGCAGATTGTCTACCATCGAGAGAATCGAGTTTACTGCCTGGTCACGCAAGCAGAAGAAGTAACTAACAAATATTATCGCTTTAACGGTGAAGATAAAGAATTGACCGAGGAAAATAAGGGCGAACGATTTATATATCCCAATGCTTCACTCTTCAGTATGGTTTTGATAAGTCCAGAAACTTGGGAAATTGTACCTGATGCTTCGATTGAATTTGAGAGTTGGGAACATGTAACCGATTTCAAGATTGTTAAATTGGCCTACGAAGGCACGCGATCTGGTCTCAAGGAATATTTATGCTTAGGCACAAATTTTAACTACAGTGAGGACATAACTTCTCGCGGCAACATACACATATATGATATAATTGAAGTTGTACCAGAGCCAGGAAAACCGTTAACTAAATTCAAATTAAAAGAAGTGTTTAAGAAAGAGCAAAAAGGTCCTGTATCAGCTATATCCGATGTTTTAGGCTTTCTAGTTACTGCTCTAGGGCAAAAAATCTACCTATGGCAATTGAAGGACGATGACCTTTGCGGCGTAGCGTTTATTGATACCAACATATATGTGCATCAAATTATCTCTGTTAAATCTTTAATATTGATTGCTGATGTGTACAAATCGGTTAGTTTGCTGCGCTTCCAAGAAGAGTTTCGAACTTTATCGCTGGCTTCACGTGACTTCAATCCTCTTGAAGTGTTCACTATAGAATTTATGGTCGACAATACAAATTTGGGTTTTTTAGTTACCGACGCTGATAAAAATTTTATAGTGTATATGTACCAGCCAGAAATTCGGGAATCAATAGGTGGTCAAAAACTGATACGCAAAGGAGACTATCATTTGGGTCAAACCGTTAACACTATGTTTCGCGTTCAATGTCATCAACGTGGACTATACCATCGTCAACCTTTCATGTACGAGAACAAGCATTTGGTAATGTTCGGAACATTAGGCAAGTAAACAGAATTTTCGGTGCGCGAAGTAATTAAACTTCGACTTTTGAAAACCTTCCTAATTTATTATTAAAATGAATTCCACTTCGTCTATTTCAGATGGCGGCATGGGATATTGTGTACCTCTGCCGGAAAAGGTGTACAGACGTTTTTTAATGCTACAAAATGTCCTGATCACCTATCAGGAACATTTGTGTGGTCTCAACCCGAAAGAATTTCGCACCATTAAATATGTTAAGCGGTTATCATTGAATCCGTCACGCTGTATTATAGACGGCGATTTGATTTGGTCATTTACAATGATGACTGTGGCAGAACGAAATGAAGTGGCAAAAAAAATTGGTACCAAAACTGAAGATATTCTGAACGACCTTTTGGAAATTGAGAATCTGACGGCGATATTCTGAATAAATAGGAATTGAATTAAAAACTGATTTTTATTGAAGTAAGACATGTATAATCCCGCGCTTTTCATATTTCAATTTAATTCATACAATTTCTACATGATTTTTGTTCCTTGTTGATTTTGTTGTCGATTAATTTTCACATTTATTTGTCGTTTCTTTTCATTTCTAAATGCCTCTGCGTTTGCCTTTCTTTCTATACGACGTTCGTTGCGATATTCCTTCACCAATCTTTTGCGTTCACGTCTTTCTTCACATGTTTCATCTTTAGGCCTAATAGACAAAACACTTAAAGTCGACAACACCGATTTGTCACATAGTGACTTAGGAGCCGCGAAACTGCTTCGCCCACCATCAAGTTTTGCTAGAGCTTTCGCAGTAACTTTATTGTTCCCACCACGCAAAACGTTCATAGGTATACCAGTTTGCGAATCGATAACAATTTTCTGGTTTTGTGCCTCTTGCGTAGAACAGGATGTGCAACGTGATCTGTTTTTAGGCTCCTCAATCAACTTCGGGTGATTATATATATTTGAATACGTTGATAATATGGATTCACAATCCCATTTTTTTCTTTTTGGGTCCTCAACTTCTACTTCTACCAGCTGTTCATTCGGATCTAGATCTCCGTCAGCGACATACCGATACTTTTCTATACGTTGGCGGTCCCATTCTTTGTTATATTTTAATGCTTTTTTGGATTTTTTGAACTCCTGCATGCAATCCATTAGGTGTGGGTGCTTTTGATGCCAGGCGCCTTCAATTTCCTCTGTGGCAAGGTCTCCGAGTTCCGGATCGTCATAGGTGGCGTAAAAGCGTTCGAAACGGTCGTCTAATAAAGTTAATTGTTCATTACGATGCATTACGCTCGAGGACATGGAATATTCAGTGAAACGGGACTTCGTTTCTTCATCAACAAAACGACAATTTCGGGTTAGAGGCCCCAAGTCATCCCCAAGCTCTTCGATATCAGAGCCATCACTAAAATCAATTGAATTAAGGCTTTCTTCCTGCTCTTGATTTGTTTCTTCATCACCCATGGCCTTTATGATAAAGTCATCTTCTAGTTGATTATTTTCGTTATCAAAATCAAAATCACCATCTAGAGCAGCCACTACATCTGGGTCCCAATCAGGATGGGGACCAGGTTGAGGAGCCGCTTTGTTAAGCAATCCATCTGGTTCTTCATACTCGCTTGCAAACACTGAACTAGGCAGAACAAGTTTAAGAGCTTCGAGGACATGTTTTTCATTTACACCTTTTTTAGCTTGATTAGGATTTTCGGCATATTCCCAAACTACCTCTTGCTCCGGTTGTTTCAAATGCTGCAAGTAATCGTATTCGTCATCAAAATCAATTCCATATTTTCGCTGTTCTTCTTTCCTTTTGACTGCATCTGGTGCCACTGTCGTGCTGCCTTTTTGTGATTGACGTGCACTGGCTTCTAAGAGGACACGTTGAGGAGCTGTTTCATCTGTTATTAGAGGATCATGCTGGCTCCGATGAACTAAATGGAAAGTCACTGCATTTTTCCGGTCAATGAAAGATTTTTTACTCTTGCCCTGTTGAAGTAATATTGACATTAGATCTTAAAGCAGGACAGGGCGATAATTTTTTTACACATTTTTCTGAGTTATTGAATTGTATTATTTTTTACATACCATTTCTGCGATGGTTTTATTGAACAAATTTGCTTTATTTTTACAAATTTCTAAACGATAACATGTGGCTTGTTTTAAGGTTACCAACAATATATCAAGTTGAATGAAAGCAGTAAAATTCAGTAAATGCTTAGAAGAGTTTCGGATAATTTTGAAAATTAAAACTTAAACTAAAATATTTAATTCGTAATGTACAGATAATGGATAACGGGTGCGTTAAAAAGCTTCTATCGATGAGAAAGCGTAACGTTGTGTGTAAGCTTCACAAACAATTATGTGAAATAGAACGCCAAAGAGTTTATAATAAACTTTTTATCCATTAGACTTAGAATCTGACATGAATTTGATGTTACGAACAGAATGTTGTAGACTTCAAACATATTTAGCATTAAGCATATAAAGTTCATCGCAAAGTGAACATATTTCATTAATAAAGTTGCAAACACTGATAGATAGTGAATCTAAATCAATTAAAAGTATCTAGATTATTATCTACTAGGAGTGGAAGACCGTTAATTGAAGTTTTTTATGCTTATGCGTATCGCAACTTATATGCCGGAAAGCAATTTATTGATTTATGTAATTAAAAATTTAAACTAGACGATGTATAAATAACTAATTCGTTTAAGTTTAATCGATGGTAAAAAGTCCGCACTAAATTCAATGAAGACGATTCTAGACACAAAGAATAGGAATTAATGATAAGCAGATTAATTTCTACACTCACATCCGACTAATGCTACTACTAAGGTACACTGATTTTGTTATTTGGTATGAAGTATTTAAAAATAACAAAAAATTTGGACGAAAGATGGCCAATTACTTAATAAATTAAGCAAGAAAAACTTGAATTTTCTACAAAGTTTGTTTTAGATTTCAATAAATCAAATAATTAATGATTTATGTGGTTTTTTATAAGAGTGATACGGTTCCTTCACATTTGCTGATAGTTCTAAAACTGTTGTTATAGGAAATGATCTCGGATTCCCTGGCTTTAACATTGACCCTTGTTTTTGAAATAAAACAACCCTATATTCTTGGGCGAATGTCTTGACGACAGCGTTGGAGCGAATGAATTCAAGTGTACTCCTTAGCTTTGTAGATAAATATAATGCCGTGGTTTACCCATTACAGCCTCACACAACATGTTGCTTGCGTTATTAATAAGCTGATGTTTAATCACACCATAAGCAATGGTTATTTCTGTAAAACCAATATAGTGATCGTCTATCTTCTCTCTGTCTCCGATCTATATTTCGCAGATTGTCTATATGAGCGCAGTAATATTTTACACCCTCGTAATTTAACAGTTTACATTGCACTCTTCTCGTCACAATGTAAGAATGTTCTCAGCCATATTGTGAATGGACCACTTCTTTATATATTTCTTTACTTTACTCAACTTATCCACTCTTTCATAAAAGATTTCCACTTGTGATCTTAACGCTAAAAGATCGATCACTACGCTATTACCAATTGTGCTTTGGAAAAAAGCGAAATAAAATAAGATAAGAAAATAATAGGGAAGCATCGATCGTTCAAAATCACGTAAAAACATGCAACAAATGTACATTCAATTTGGATGCAATGTCCTCAATAAAGTTTCGGTGAGCCTATTATTAATGTATTTATATATATATACATTGCATACAAATTGAATTTTTTTTCGCAGCACAGTTAATCATATGATATTCATTTATTGAATTTTAAAATAAGAAGAAGTACTCAGCTGACCAGCTGACCATAGACTTTGTAGATTTTTTATTTAAAAATATTTTTTACATTCCTAATGAAATAATGGAAGAAAATGTAGGTAAAACTAAGGCACATGAAACACCGGTTAAAAATCCCCATGGTGCAGAGCTTACAATTGGTAGCGGAAGTGGTGTTAGTGAACAACCAGGTTTAATATCGCCATTATTGCTATAGTTACATTTGTATTCAAAACAAATTTTGAATATTCTTAGATATGCTACAAAAAATTAAAGCATTGGAGGAAGAGAATCATAACATGTTGAAAAGTTTCGACAGTCAACGAGCAAAACTGAAGGAACTTTATGTGCAAAAAGTGCGTGAGTTAGACGAAGTAAAAACAAGCATGGTGGTGGCTGAAATTAAAGCTCAAGAAGAAATTTCATCATTACAACAGTTAGTACAAGGTAATTTGCAATTGTTTTTTGTTTTATTATTAAGAATAATAATTGTCTGTAAATTATTTGTGCACTATCTAGAGACTATCGAAGAGTCGAGCAATTATAAAGCGGACTTAGAACGTTTGGAAGGTGAGAATAGTCGTTTATGGCAGGAGAACCGTGAATTACGTGATAATTTGGCTCAACATCAATCGCCGGCAAGTCAAGAATTGAGCAGTCTTGCACCTCAAATGCTAAGTCAAGTGAAAAAAACGTTGGTACGAAAATTAGGCGGTGATGCAGGTGGTTCTGTATTGGGTTCTAGTTTTACCCAAGAGTCGTTAGATGACAGTAGAAATAAAAGTGAGGGAAAATATGTAAGTTTTTTTTTTGAAAAAAGTGAGATTAATAATATAATCAATTGCTTACCAGGCTCATGAAGATTCAGAGGTGTTGGGTTCAATAGTAACGCAATTACAAGAAGAAATGAAGGTCTTAAAAGAAAAATTGCGTGAGGCTGATGAAAAGCTACAAGCTACATCAAGTAGTAAACCTCATTTGCCGTCTACTGCAAAGGCAGCGGATAATAGCACCACACAAACTGAAAATTTTCCTTGTTCCAATTGTCCAACTCTTGAAAATAAGATCAAAGAGTTAATCGAAAAGGCAACGGAGGACCATAATAAAATCGAGGATTTACAAAAGAAGATTGGAGAATTTAACGAAGAATTGTCAAAGGAAGCCGCTTTGCGCCACGACCTGGAAAGTCAATGGGAGGAAAAGCGTGAAGCTTATAAAAATGAGGTTCATGCACTACGAGAACAAGTACATGACCGAAATAAGATTCTGGGATATGTTTTAAATTATATCTCATACATTATTTAGGTTACTGCAAGTGAAAACCGTTTGTTGAGCATGCAACAGAAATTTCTCGAAGCCAAAGATGATATTATGCGTCAATTGCATCGCGTAAGTGACGATCGCGAAAAGATCAACAAACACTTAGAAGTTTTGCAAGCTGATAACGACTTTCTTTCGGGGCGTTACTTAGCTACAGCTGAAGAAATTGAAAACCAGCATATTAATCTGCCTAATACGGTGGAGGAATTGCAAGAGCTTATTTTAAAACAACAACAAGAACTTATAAAGTCCAGATTGGGTTGTGATTTTGAGAGAAAACGATGTGTTACTTCATTAGATGAAATTCAGATATTACGGGATCAACTGGAGGCTACGGACCGTCAACATAGTGCCTATAAAAAAAAGTATCAGGCGGAAATTAAATCATTACAGTAAGCTTGTCAAATGCCCTTCTTAGACATATGTATGTTATTTCTTAGTTTTTTTTTTGTTGCAATTTTTGTAATTCAGGGAGCGCATAACATTGCACTTGCAAACCTTACAAAAGTGTGAAACATCTAAAACTGATTTGGAACGTAAAGAAAGTGAGCTGAATCGTAAACTATCGGCATTCCGAGTGGAAATCATCGAATTGCAAGAACAAAATGTGAGTATTAGATATGCAGATTATACCTTTTCTAAACTTGCCCAAAAACAGAATTAATTGAGCGCTCGATAGATACCAGACTCTTGATCAATTCCAATACGTTCGCCTCTGTGTTCATGCGATTATTTACCGTGTGGCCCAAAAATTGGGACACACAAACCAACTACGCTGATATGCCTAACTCGTGATCAGTATTTAAAATAATTAATATGCAAAAAATCGATATTTTGATTAAAAAAGGCTTTCACGCAGTTTTTTAGTTGGTTTTGTGGATCAATGTGATCCAAAAGAAGATTATAATTTAAATTCTCAAAGTTTACTAGGGAATTTGTTTCAGTAAGAGTTGCAGCTAAACGTGTTATTAAAGTTCGCGTCAAATCAAGGCAGCCTTGCGTGCACTGGACTTAAGTTGTAAATCTAACATCAAAGTGGAAAATTTGGCTCGCCGAAAATAATTCATGACTTGTTACCGAATTTTTGCAGTAACTCAATGGCTCTTTGCCGGACACATTAAAAACGACCATTTGTCCTATAGGGAAAAAGAAGTCACAATATTTCGAAAATATGGCTTTATTAAGACAGAATTTTGGTAAGAGATGTTTCTATATTTTTTAAGATATAGGTCACATCCTAAATCTTTTGAATATTTTGAATTATAAAATATTTATTAAAAAGATTTAAAATGAAAATGGTTTTTAACATACCTTGTAATGAATTACAGGTCCTTAAAATGATGAGATTTTAATAAGAGGCTGGAAGTTTCAAGTTGACTACTTCAGTCAACTTTGCCAGTCGATAGGATTTAACACTTAATATGCCTATGATCAATTCTAGTCTGAGACAATTTTGAAAAGGAAAAGAATTCTTCAAAATGTTCTTGTGGATAGCTTAAGAAGTACAACAGTCTCAGATTTATTGTGATTTAGAAAAACTAGTTTGCAAAAATTTAGCACGAAAACAATTCCGATTCATTAACGAATTCTTCTTAAATTTTTCTTACATAGTTAGTTGATTTAATTTGGTATATATACATTACATGTAACGATTGCCCCTTTTTTTATAGGAGAAATTGGCAAAATCATATGCCGAGGCAAAGGCAAAAATAAAAACTTTACAAGATGATTTGGCCACCAGCGAGCAAGTACAAAAGGACTTTGTTCAGTTATCACAAACTTTACAGGTACGTAAGGACAAATTTTAAGCCCAGACATTTCCAAAAGGTGTGCTTTATTACATGTACGTAGATGACCCTTGAAAATTTGAGACACGCTGATACGGAGGTGCGCTGGCAAGACGATGATGATGTACCGAATTGTCCAAAGTGTAATGTTAATTTCACAGTGACAGTACGTAAAACGCATTGTCGTCATTGTGGTCGTATATATTGTGACAAATGTCTAACGAAATCAGTACCATCAGGACCGCGTAAAAGGCTGGCACGAGTCTGTGATATTTGCCACACTCTGCTTTCACCTCATATCGCTCCCTATTTTAGTCAAGATTCCGCGCAATTGCAGACCGCAGGTAATAACTCATAAGGGAAAAAAGCGATAATGCTCGATTGCAGCAGTCGAAGGCAGAAAAGCAAACATTAAAATAATTGAAGTTTAACTACAAACACTCATTTATGTAGGGTGTAAATTTTTAATTATTATTATTTTTTTTTTTTTCGAATTATCATGTTTCGTGTGATCAATTTAGTTAAAAACGTTTCAGCTCGAATATGTTTGTTAAATAAGGAAAAATGTTTTCTGAAAAAGGAAACTATAACAGACGTCTTTAAAGAAAAAAGAGAAAATAATCAAAACTATTAAAAAATGTGTTATTCAAATCTGAACGTTCTATGAAGAAATAAAATTTTCGAAAAATAGTGTGTGATTAAATAGATTTATTTTAAAATCTTAATAGAAAAATAGCCTCAGAAATGATTGCATGTTACTTATTGATAGTTTGATCGATCATGGAAACAAGAGGAAAAGAAGAAAGCTTGTGAGTGAATTATGGATATCCCTCCAATAGTTACGATTTCTGTATTTTTAAAATGCAATGCACTAGGAAATGAGTAATGAATGGCAAGTTTTTTATTTATTTATTTATTTATTTATTTTAATTCTACTTATACTAGAAACTCAACTAAACAAATAACAGTCGAGTTCAATTGGCTCATAATACAAAACTTATATTAATTAATAATAAAATTTAGTATAAGTATAATAAAACAAATAAGAATAGAAAAAAAAAAGAAAAAAAAAAAGCATGTACACTATCAGCATAGAGCCACACCAACAACCGGTACAGGACCAAATAGCAAATGAACCCCTAAGCCATCGCAAACATGCATAAGCCTGGCAACCGACAATAATTAACAATAATTCATTTTCGAATCGTAACGACTTTTTATGGTTAAAAGTTAGTTTAAGTACGACATAGGTAAATCGCGCGTATTAAGCAATGTTGCTTTAATGGACTTTAAAGTGTCCGATAACGAGAATAAGTGGTAGACGTCATTTAGGTTCTTGCAAACGACTCTGAGCGGATTGAACAGCTCATAATTAAATTTACACTGATTAAGCTTGACCAAGATAAAGTGCCTAGAGAAACGGTTAGGGACATTAAAGCTTATTTTACCAAGTCATGAAGGCGAGTCAATAGCACCATTTATTACTTTAATTAGAAAGGAAACGCCAAGAACAAATCTACGTTTCTCAAGAGACGGTAGGGACAGCAGAAGCAACCTATTTTCATACGGAGGAAGAGAGGCAATCGGATCCCAACCCAAATTTCTAAGGGCAAACAGCAAGAATTGCTTTTGAACAGATTCAATTGAATCTACGTAGCACCTATATGAAGGAGACCACACAACTGAGGCATACTCGAGTATGGGTCTAACCAAACACATGTACAGCCTCTTCGTAATGTAGGGACCATCAAGCTCTTTAGACCACCTTCTTATAAAAAAAAGCGTGGACCTAGCTTTGCTTATCGAGAGCTCAATATGCAAGTTAAAACGTAACCTATGGTCAAATAGAACGCCTAAATCTGTGATCGAATCGACGTCCTCCAACTTATGCGAATCTATGAATGACTTTCTTCTTGAGAAAGAAAGCTTCTTACATTTACTCAGATTTAGTTTCAGAAGATTCAAAGAGCACCATGCAACAAAATTATCCAAATCACCTTGAAGCTGATGTGATTGCGACTCAACAGAGAAGGAAGAAAACAGTTTCACATCATCAGCATACATTAAGATCTGGCTGGAATTAACCACCGATGGGACATCGTTAATGTATAAACTAAATAAAATGGGACCTAAGTGACTTCCTTGTGGTACGCCAGACGTAACGGGGAATTCATCCGAGGTGATGAAGTTAAACAAAACCCTGAAGGATCTATTGTGCAGATAAGAGCTTATCCATTTCACTAAGTAGAAAGGGAAGCCAGAGGCTTGAAGTTTAAAGATAAGTAAGTTATGGTAAACCATATCAAATGCTTTGCTTAAATCAGTGTAAATAACATCTGTGCGAGAGCCGCTAGAAAAAGCCTTGAAACATGACAGGTAAACTCTAACAAGTTGGTGACTGTAGATCGCCCTTTCCGAAAGCCATGCTGGTGCGGAGAAATATACGAATTAATGGCAAAGGCCAAATGCTGAGTCACAATACGCTCGAACAACTTGGGCAAGACACTCAACTTGGCTATGCCTCTGTAGTTCTCAACAAATTGTCTACTTCCACTTTTGTGGATAGGAATAAGGAAACTACCCTTCTAACATAAACAGAAAACACCTAAATACAAGGAAATGTTAAAAATCTTTAAGATCACACCACATAACTCGACAGCGCAAGATTTAAGTACACATGATGGAATTCCGTCAGGTCCAGGCGAACAACTGTATTTTAGAGAGCTCAACCCTTTAAAAACGTCATCTTCCGAAATAACCAAGTTAGGTATTGAAACCGAGTTAGTGATAGGATAAGGGTAGTTTGCTGATAAATCGAAATTAGCAATGGAAAGTTTCGTCGGAAATACTCAGCAAATAGATTTGAGATTTCAAAATCATCCGAGGAATCAGAGCCATTAAAAGAAACATGAGAGGAATATGTGGATATTGTTCTTTTAGAGTTAACAAATTTAAAAAAGAATTTAGGATTAGAAAAACAGAGAGGATTTAATGAACTGAAGGTATCTGCAGTAATAATGATGGTTGAGGGAGTTAAATCTATGCCTCGCCACCGAGTAAGCGACATAGTCGAGCGCAGAGCCATTTTTCGAATATTTTTTGAATAGCGAGTTTTTTCTATTCTTCTGATATTTAATTGTCTTATTAAACCACGGGGGACACCTGCTTCGAGGTCGACACTGCTTGATCGGAACAGATGCAGCAATAGCTAGATTTAATGTATCGTAAAACGATGACAATAAGCTTTCAATACTACCGGTTGAAAAATCAAGCCTCAAATGTGAAAGACAATGTTTTAGCAATACAATATTGATTTTATGAAAATCATAATAATTATTTAAAAAAGTTTGAGTTGGCACATTAAGGCATTCCAACGAACCACCACTCATATGATGAAAGGAAATGCATATTGATGGATGATAAGGATCCTCAGGATCCTTTTAAAAGTAATTTGAAAATACATTAGGTCAAGCGATGGTGAACTTGGCCTCCTCCATTGTCTATTGGCTTTAAAAATTAAACAAAAATATACACCGTTTTTCTTAATGCTTATTTTTTGACCCAATTACTAGCAAAAGAAACGTAGTTTAATTTCGTTTCTGAAGTATATGCAATCGTTTGTCCAAATATAGCAACGATTGTTGTTAAAAACGTTAAGTTCAGAATTATGCGTAATCTTAGTTTTTTAAAAAAATAATATATTTAAAATTCCGTACTTTTTTTACTTCAGATATATTTATTCAGATTTATTCAGATTCAAAATATTGCTATAGGCAAATTTATAGCATTTTTATAAATCTTTTCTTAACTAGCCTTCGTGTCGATGTGGAAGCTTCTAAACGATATTTCAGGAACTTTCGTATATCCAAATGTGCTGAAATTTTACATATAACTTTAATTTCCATGGCAACACAATATGACACATTCCATTTTTCGGCAGGTACAACATGAACGATTATCGTTTTCTAAAAAATCCTCTTCGTAACTTTACTAGAACGGGGATTTACGTGGATTGAAAATTAAAAAAAAAGAAAATGAAACGAAACAAGTAAAAACACATTGATGTACCACAGTCCACAGTTCTTCACAAACTTTTCAAAATAAACCTTTGAAACTGGTCGAAAAAGCGGTCATTTTTAATAGTTTCGCTCTTAGGCCAAAAGCCGTCAGTGTACCAAATTTCATCAAAATATCGCAAAAACTGTACAAGTACAACGGACATAGGAAGAAATAAGGAAGACAGAGGGACAGAGAACCTTACATCGATTCAGAAAGTAATTATGAATCAATTGGCATAATAAACGTTGGGTCTATCCCAAGTCCTTCTGAATGTTGTATGCATTCGCACAAACTTATTGTACCGTAATACAATTATTGGTATAGGCCATAAAAATTTCTTCAAATAACCTTTAATTTAAATGAGAAAATAAATTTCCTCTTCGTAGAGAATTAAAGAAGAGTAACGCTTCTAGACGCCCTTTTATTTTATGCGCAGTCAGGTAAAAGTGACTTTAAAGTCATTTTCCATTCTTTTAATTCACTTGTATAACAACTTATTTAGCAACATTTTTTCCAATAAAATTTGTTTTACATATTAGCCTATTAAAATTCGCGTCTTTTGCTTAACAAACAAATTAACTTTCAAATTTGTGATAGAGTTGTGAGGAAGTGGTCGCTATCAATCTGAATTTTTACAATTGGTAGTAGAAGTAATCTTGATAATGTGGCGAAAAGAAATTTGCGACTGTTATTTGGTCTATATTATAGTGACCAATGACATCAGTTTGCCTCGTCTTCGCTACAATAATATATTTATAAAACATAGCCGGTAAGAAAGCTGGCAGTCCATGTGGGGCGAATCCTGTGTATGTTCATGCCCCGACATAGTCATAGATTAAAGTAATTCGCAAGCATATGCCGGGAGTTTCATGCCAGCGTTTCCAGCCCAGTTTTTGTGACTTGGAGCATTCTAACGTACAAATACCCCGCCCGAGTCGATTTAGAACTTTACTTTAGGAATATGACGGTGTATTTAATCTATAAGATCATTGGATGTACATTCCAACTAGACGTTACTTTACGTCAAAGACATTTATCAAAATTCTTATGGAGATAAGGTTTGCGTTATTTTTTTGGTTATTGAAGCACATTTTTGGAGAGTACAAAGTGTACATAAACATATAGATACGATTTCAGTAGAAAAATTAAGCTGACCATTGTTTTAGTAGTGAGATTAGAATGGTTCAACTGCCAAATCGGCAATCACTACTTTTGAGTTTTAGTTTCAATTTTAATGTCAAAACACTTGATTCGCTCCTAGTTGTAAATATTCAAAACAAAATTTCTCTGATAATAAATGCTTAGTGATTGACAGCTCAATGTTCGTGGGTCCAAATCTCAATTGTCAAGCACCCGGTACTCTTTAAATCCACTCTTTGTATGTTTGTTTACAGAATATTTATGTAGACAACAAAATAAATAAATATACGGGCGTCGCTTTCTCATACTAAACACCTGGTGTAAAAAACGTAAGAATTTTGTATTATTCATTATCCTTTTTATAGAGTTTATTGATTTGGCGCGTGACCCATTCATTCATTTATGATTCCCTGCAGCTTGACGATTTTAGACGAATTTACGCAAATAATAAACTGAGTGAAGAATAATCATATTGTACTTTAGTCTCAGTAGGGAACGGCAGAATTTATAATTTTTATATACATTAGATCTGAAGTGAACTATTAACCAGTTAACTGTGGCGACCTCTTTCGTTTGTGGTTGAATTTCTTCTTCTTTGCATTCACTTTTAGATTTTTTCTTCTCTCGCTCTTTCTGCGAGTCACCAGCCACGTATTCAGTCGAAGTATTTTTACACGAAGTATTGTGAGGGCTTTTTCCCATTCCCTGGTGCTGCGGTATGCTCAGCGGCGCCAGGCTCTGACACACAAGAATTTGATGTTTTCTGTGAATGTTTAAAAAATAGCACTCCCTACCACCCACAGAGACCAAAGAACCTGTGAGGCCAAAACGGAGGACGACCTTGGCTCCTCACAGTATAGGTTATAATGTTTTCTAAAATACATTATTACGGTGAAAAAAATTTTGTGAGGAAGCCCGACACGAATGGATGGACGGATCTTAATGTATATATTCGTCAAATATTGCTAACTGGCTAAGGGCAGCTGAAGAGCTATTGAAAACACAAAAAATTCGATGCAAAGTTATCACATGTAATTGGATCTAATTTTATTAAAAAGATTTTTTACTCAAAATAGATGTATTAGTATAATTATAAATATGTAGATGTTCAAACATGTTTGCTGCACTTGCAAAAAAAGTTTGAATAAACTATTCAATGATATGTACAACTTAAATAATAAAGTACAATATGAAAATCCTCTGCGCTTAAGGCGGCGTATCACCTGGATAATTACTGCAACTTTTGCTTGTTGAAGTTGAGAGAAATCCGTTGCCATTCTTGCTCAGAAGCTCAATTATAACGCCATTAGTCCAACCAAAACCTTTTTGTACTTCGTATTCGCCGCCACCACCATGGCCCCCGAAACGTTCGGCATCATACTGCAGAAAGAGAACAACGAATAAAGACATTATCATCAACAAAGGACATCATTATATAAGCCACACCGACTCGCCTAAGACGATTCTTCGTTTATTTTCGCGATAAACTACCAAGAATGCATGCTTTTTATGGCAACCCTTAGATGGAGTGGGTTCAAAAAGATGCATCTATGCGGTCGAAGTTGGACACAGTTAACTTTTTTAGCAAATCCCTATTTTGGACTAATTTTCATTTTAAAATATTAAATATTAAACGTTTTTGTTATACAAGGGCCTCCGTTGTATGGGAAGAAATTGCAAACTTGACTTATCTGATTGAAATATTTCACACAAACTTAGTATGCCAAAATACTATCATTCAACGAATCGTGTCAAAAAATTTTGAAACTTGGAAATTATTTTCCTATAACCACTTTTTCACAATAAATCATTATATAGTTAGTGGCCATAAAAATTGCTCGGTTCAATCTATTTTGAATAGAGTTCGTACTTGAGCCAAATCACATCAGTGGGTCAAATTCCGTTAGAGTTGCTACTTATAGGGTAAACATAAAAACGGATAGATAACAGATGGACAGATGTCTCTGACAGGTGCTTAACGTGGATACCTGCCGAGAAGGCTTAACCCCACGGTGCCTGATGGCACACGGAATGTGAAAACGCACACTCAGCGCTCCGAGGAAATCCTCGAGTTCCAGTGAAGATACGTATATGGGCGTATCTCCCCTCCTGGTGAGGGCGAGGTCTACCTAAAACCTCTGTCTTTCTTTGGGTCAGACACCCGATTGCTGTGCAACTCCACACCGAGCCGAGGCTCTTCCCGCGATTTAGGCCAACCACAGCCACCACGAAACTCCCGCGATGGGCCAATAACAGATGGACAGATAAAGAACTTTAAAGTTCTTCTGAACTTGAAGTTCTTCTGGGTGTTACATACATTCGTACTACTTTATATGCTGTGCGTTATACGTGGTGCCGGGTATAATAATAAAAATTAGTTTAATGCGTTTTTTTGGATTAATTGTGTAACATACCTTTTCAAACATCGCCCTGCTGTCACGATAGGCTGCAAAATTTGATAACACCCATCGATGACTCCACTTGGAGGATAGACTTTTTGCAGCTTCTGTACCTAGATTATTTAAACCTTCTATAAGGATATATTGCATTGGGGGCCAAACATTGGGGAAATCCCACTGTTCGCCAGTGCGATAAAGAGTGTTGGGCACACCTCCCGGATATTTATCTAGTTGCAATTTTTCTATATATTTTAATACTGAAGTGGATAATTTTTCAATGGCCGTGCTATCAAACGCTCCGGTCCATAACGGTGACAGATTGGTGGGTACAAAATAGTCACGTGGCTTTTCATTTAGTAAATCATAATCGAGCCAAACGCCGGCTTCCTCGTTCCAAAGAACAGCGTTAATGGCCTGGAATGCGAAATAAATATGAGATTAAAAATGAATTTATTCTTATTTATACGAATTGCTTGTGTTTTCTCTTACCTCTAAAAATTTGTTAGCTTTTGTTTGATATTCGTTCCGTTTTGCGATATTATTCGCTGCTCCATGCAGGTCAGCAATAATTTTGGCATTCCAAAAAAGTATAGCGTTCAGTTCCACAGGAACAATTGAACGTGTGTTGAGATCAGTGAGGTTACCATCGTTCCCGCCTTTATCAGTTATAAACCAACGTGAGCTAAAGTCCATACCAGATGCAGCAGCTGCCTTCAACTCTTTATAATGCTTCTCTTTTGCTTCATCCGTGCTGAACGCTTCAGATGTTTCCACATCTTCACGATACGATTCTGGCCGGGGACCAGTCGAGCTATCACCGTATACGCAGAGATCATAATCTTTCGCTTGTACAACGTGATTATTCATCCAGTATTCGTATTCGTGCTCAAGCACGTCTAAAGCGTCAATACCGAACTTCACGTCGTTAGTAAAATCCACATAAGATTTAATCATACCTGCCAGCAGGGGAGGTTGTGAACGTTTTGAATAGTATATGCGACCGCCATTTGGTATGAAACCAAAACGTTGTACTATTGAAATAAAATTTTCTAACATGCCGCGGGCAGTATGGATCATTTCGGAATACAGTAAACCTCTGATAATCCAATAGGAATCCCAATAATAGAATTCCCTGAAACGACCCCCCGGCACTATCACAGGATTTGGTATCGGTATGATAGAGTAATAATGTGGATTTTTGTAAACATCATCAATCATTTTCCGCCCTAGATCTTTCCAAATGGCGTTCAAATCTAAACCCCATTGCTTTAAATCGGGATCGTTAATATGATCTATAAATGCTGGATGCTCCTTCCAATCATCTGGCAACCATGGTACGAATTCTTTACCCAAATCATCGAAATGTTCCTAAAATAAAAATAAAATAAAAAATTTTTATAATATTTTTGATGTATTTTATTGTCATTATTTGAAATGTGCTAAACATACGGTAACAAACGCTCGCAATTGCTCTTTGGACGGTGCATTATCCGTTTTCTTCATGAAAGTTTCGAAATTGGCATTTGTTTGCTCGGGCGGCAACTTTAATTTCATGTCCACGAATGTTTTTGAATCTCTAAACAGATGAGCCATCTGTACAGTGTCTAGCAGTCGACCATAGCAATAGATTTGACTGTTTAGAATAAAAATAAGAGTTTTAAGAAATTTTTTTAAAATTCACTTCATTTTCTTTATCTTTTTTATATTCTTTTAAAATTCACTTTATGATCTTATCTTCGAATTATTATTGATTGTTAAAATTTTGTGTAAAAGCTTTTTTTACACACTACACTACTTGTGATACAAGGGCAGATTAAGTTTGTGCGGACTTAAGCAACATTGAAAAGGGCTTGAGATGGACCCAGCTTTTAATGATACCAAATCGATTAAAAATCATTTTCTGATTTAATTTAAGTGCGTCTGTCCGTCTGTCTATTTTACATTCTTGTGTTCAATTTACAGGTGGCAATTCTTGAGATACTAGAATGAAATTCGGTACACCGGCGTGCTTTAGCTCAAGAGCGAAAGCTATTAAAAATGGCTCGAATCAGACCACTTTTTCGACCAGTCGCCATATAACGCCTTATTTTGAAAATCAATTATATTAATAAAAGTATTAAGCGAAGTGGTGTAGGCTATGTACTACCTATTTGTTTATCTGTTTACCTGTATTTTAGATTTTAACACTTTTAAAATGGAATGTAAAAATTGAAAAAAACGGAAAAAGGTGATCGGGTTTGATTCGCATAGCTACTGCATAGCATGAAAATGGATTCGACATAAAGCTAGTACAGGTATTAGGGAACGCAGAAAGTGATCTACACAATTTAGAGAACAGTAGTCTCAATAGTAAACTGCTAGCATATGTTCGTGGCGAAGGTAGGGTTCAGTTGCGGCGGCGCGATAGATCGCAAAGTATGGTGCTGGTGCACCTTTACAAAAGGATTAAAAGGAGTAATTATGTTACTTTTTTGTTTAGTTTTTTGTTTGTTGTCTATTATATTTTATTTTTGTGTAGCTCCAGCGTCCTCCGTATAACACGATTAATTCGTGCCGTGCTTTACCGAAACCGTGTTATACGAAACAAGGCATACCTGGTAGTATCGAGGTCTTGTCCTGTGTTATTTCGAAACCGGGATATACAAAACCTTGAAATAATATAAATAAAAGCAATGTGTACCGTGTTGTATTGAGGCCATGTCTTAAGGTGTAAAATTTTCTAATGCCTGAAATTTTGCTCCATATACTACATATTATATTAATGAAAAAAACAGTTGACTTCAAACTTTTATTAAAAGAAAAATGAAATTCAATATTGTGACGAAATACAGAAGTTGGAAATCCAACCAAAAATATATTCACATAATAACAACTATTATAAAACAAATAGAAACAGCTTATTAAGACTGCGAAATTAATTTTCGTCGTCACTCTTATCAAAAATTAGTTAGCAGAGACGGCGTTCTCCTCCAATATAAAGCTGCCTCATCGACGTTGAGAATTTGATCTACTGAATATTCTCCCTCTTCAATAATTTGTGCGCATTTCCAATAAAAATTTTATGGTAGCCTCTGCATATGCTGAAGCTTGTTCTCCTTGAAATTTTACATTGCGCAAAGAAAATGTTTTTTTTTTGTTAATTTTCAAACTACCCTTTACTTGCCCATCTCATCTTTCTTTAAATGTGTATAACTTCTTCTGAGCGCTTTTTGTTTAATAATATTTGTGCTGAAAGGGATTTTTTTATCTAAACAATCTTCGATCCATATTATAAGAGCATGTTCCAATCTTACGATATTTATATCCCGTTTGCGGGATACACGTTTCGCACCTTGCGAACAACCAAAGGCAACTATTTTTCTAATTTTGCTCTCATTTTTTAATATAGTTCGAATAGTGGCTTCGTTTAAATTTAATAATTTTGCAATGGACGTTGGATTTTCGCCCAAATTTATACGATTTAAAATGCAAAATTTTTCTTCGAGTAAAATAAAATTTTGCTTCTTTATCTTGTCAGACATTATCTAAAACACATGCTACAATCAGCTACAGAATAGAATATCAGTACAATATGTTACTTTATTAAAACTACTAGGCTCAATATCTAACATACTTTTATAAATTCGAGCCGAGAGCCTGTGTTGTCGTCTAGTGTCAACGTCTATTTTTTTTTAATCCAAGAATTTAATTCATTAGTCTAAAATTGTAATAATGATAATAATAATAATAATATCTTGCCAGACATTATATAAAATCAGCGTCAGACATTATCTAAATTTAAGGTCCAAAATGAGATTTGCGATAAACGTTACCGTTTAATTTTTTAAACACGACAAATTGAAATTACTACGCACTTGTAAACTTTTTATTCCAAAATGTTGAAAACAAACCAAGCAAAAATATTATTAATTTCATTTACAAAGAACAAAACCCGTACCGTCACTTCTCAAAACGGAATGAGAGTTCTTCAGCAGCAATAAAGTTGAGGATTTCCCCTATTGAACGCACTTCAAAGAAAAATTCAAATTTCTAATGCAAATTCGATTTTTTCGAATCGTGTTACATTCATTAAAACCGCGTTACAATTATTCTCAATTCTCGTACCGTATAACATCGAAACCGTGTTTTGACGCCTGTATATGCTATTAAAATTCTTTCCCAAATCATACAAGTCTCTTCAGAATAAAAACATGAAAGTGGGCACAATTATTATTATTATTATTACTGCTATTAATATAACTCATTTAGAACTAGGAGTAGGATGAGCGTTAGGCACTAAGACTATTGGCTCTATATTTTTTAAAAGGCAAACTAGATTTTTGTTTTAGTTCTCCAGGTATTTTCAAGATATGCATGGGATTAGATGCTCCGAAAATTAATCGTCTAATGTCAGAAAGGTTTTAGCACTCACAACGTATATGTTTAATCGTAACATTTTGCCCACAATCGCAGATCGGAGGAGTAGATTTCTTAAGACTCCCCATTGTGTATATTTAATTATTTTCTTTATAGCCATTATATATCAAATGAAGCCCTATCTGGAAAAATTCGCTGACAAGTCGTTGTAATGATCGACCTAGCCAAGATTATAACGTTTTAACTTATCCGTCGATTAATTTTTATCGGGGTCTGTTAAAACAATTTGTTATTCTCGTAAATTAATTAATTGGATAAGGAATGCTTCGAGAAGTTATCAAGAAGAACAAGTAAGAAAACTATAAACTATCGTAACCTAATCTTTTACACCCATCACCGTTATTCTAAAAAAGACAAAGAAAGTAAAAGGACTAAATTTGCATGCTGTACCATAGGGAGTGGATGCGGCTGATTTTTTCTATTTTCAAAATAAAAGTTTTTGTCGCATAGGGGTGTGGCTGTTTTAGGCGAGCCGTTGGCAAAGTTTAAATCACTTCCAATTGTGTAGGCGATATCATTTTCGTAGTTGCACAGACAGACAAGCCGACAGACAAACAGGCGGACATGTTTAGGTGAATTTGATTTATGAGATTTTTGAAGCGTGTTTCTGCTCCTGATGAAACTCTTCAAAAAAAATTAAATTTTGATATACTATAGCATTGGGTAGGCGTGATAAATTTTTTCATTTTTGTACAAGTGGTACAGCAACGCCCACAGACTATGCGGTGGAAAGTTATGTACATTTATCTGCTATAGTTTATCAATAATAAGCGAAATGTAAATCGCAGTGGAACTAAGTTCAGAAATACCAATTGCTACGATCCTTTCGCTTATTTTTCTATCTCCGAGAGCCGAACTATGTATCAGATGATCCTGAAAAGCAAAAAGAGCCGCCTGATGTCTGTCCATGCAAATTTGTGTTCAAGCAACAGGTCGCAATTTTAGAAACATTTCAATGAAATCTGGTACACCTTGACCTTATCACAAACGCTATAGAAAATGGTTGGAATCGGTCCACTTTTTTGACCTCCATGTAAGGCCCTATTCTAAAAAGTCGTTATGAAGAAAAATTTGCAATTTTCAAAATTTCTCAATAAAAGTGGCTAAGTAGTAGTATTTGGGCATTGTAAATTGGTAAGGACACTTTGGCTGGAGCAATTTTTGATCCCCTTCATATGACGAAAACTGACAAAAAGGTATAATTTTCGATGCTCCGTGAAGAAAACTATATCGTAATAGTAATTTAACATAAAAAACTTAAATGTACCAAATTTTGACTTCCTCTGTCGATGTTATCGATCCTAATAAGGATTTTCATTTTAGTTGATCCTCTGCAGAGCAGAACTTTCCACTTGTTTTAAGTGCAAAATTTCGTAATTGTTTTAGCATAAAAATAAAAATAAAAGTAAAGGTTCATAAGGTATTGAATACAGCATAAAAGAAAGGAATTTGTAAGCTATTTGGTACTTATTTAATTCTGTATACTGTGCATATATTCGTATACATAACGTTTTCGGAAAGCCATCTTTATAATGTGTACGACATATGTAGAGGATGTGCGAGGGCAAGACCATAAGGACGGCAGCAGAGGAAAAAGGCAGAATTGCATTATTTGTTAATGGAAGGACTGGAAAGTAATGTCGATGTTCGTTAGTCATTTATCAGTTCATTGCGTACTTCAAAGTCTTGCCAAAGACATTTTAAAATGAGAGTGACTTGTTTGCACGTAAACAATGAAATCCTAAATTGATCTTGCAGTTTATGGTGAAATGGGCAGCCAACTACCAAGAGAGGCTCATAAGCGGCATTTTTCGAAGTTCATAATCGGTAATTTCGATTTTTCCGACTCGTGTCGATCAAGAAGACCAATAACTTTGGACAATGGCATGTTATGAGCGAAAATGGAAGCAAGTCCAATAATCGAACAGTTGTCACACACTCTTAACAAACTTTGTTCGACCATCCAAGAACATTTGCAGCAAATTGTTGCATTAAGCCGAGAAGATGTTTGGGTTCCGCACAATCTGTTCAAATAAAACAAAGCTAACTGGTCCTTGAGAAGAAACTTATTGTTTCAGCGGCAAAAAAAAAGAAAAGTAAAAACACTATAGCGGCCCATTGCCCGCCCCTAAAATGCTTTACACCACTTTGCTTAATACAGTTATTCACACAATCACATTTCAAAAGACGGCGTTCTATTGGAAGTAGCCGAAAAATGGCCCGATCTGAATCATATTCAGTCAAAAGCAAATTTCATCAATCTATCCTAAAAAGTTCGGCCTGTAGGTCGAAGAAAACAAAACGGACAGACGGAGAGAGACAAACTTAAATCGATTCAGAAAATGAACCCGGATTGATTGGTACAATAAGAGTTGTATCTATCTCAGCTTTTTCTAGATGTTGCCTACATCCGTACAAATTTCACATGTTTTTCTTCCGCAAGTGGGATAGGGTAATCGTCGGATCCGGCCCATTTTCAATAGCATTCACCATTAAGCCAAAACACATTACTGCACCAAATTTCATTAAAATATTTTGAAAATTTCGACCTGTAGGTTAATCACAACACAACACAAAGACATGCTTCGATTCAACAAGTGATTCTGATTCAATGGGTCTTTCTACACTCCTTCTTCTATTGCCTACATCCCCACAAATCTAATACATTGTAGTGTGATTGCATATCCTCATTATGCATCCACTTTGAAGTGTGTTCGCTTTTTCTTTTGCAAAAAGAAAGAGCGAAAATTATGTCACAGTTCAAGTGGCTGAGTATTGCATTTCGTAATGCAATACGACGCTAGGCGCCAATTAAAATAATCAGTCAAAATTTTATGTTTACGCTAGCATAATTTATTTTTATAATTTTAGTATAAATAAATTTAGTAAAACTAAAATTTAAATAATTCAGAAAAGCGTTTCATTCGCTAGTGATCAAAAGGCGTTCCATCCGCCTCAAATTATTTTGATAGGGACTGCTTCTAGCCGATTTTGCGTTGGCACCAAAAGAAGCAGGTTGACTTGGCCGACTGGAGCCGAGCAGCAAAGGGAAATACACCAACAACACTTGGTCACACTCGAGAAAGATTCATAGGGAATCTTTCCAATAAATAAGAAACTTGTACACAACAACTTTTAAATTTATTACGTCCTTCACTACAAGTTGTCAAATGGTGTAAGACATAAGAATTGGTTTGAGGTGGAAATCTTGGATTTAAGGGAAATAAACTAAAAGGTCATAAGTTAGATTTATAGATTATAGATTACGGGGGTAACAGAGAGAGATCATCCCATTCCATCTCTTCTTGCATTTCGTAAGGATAAGTACCCGATAGATCTAAAAGCACATATGTATTGGTGTGTAAGGCATTTTTTATATTCTGCAGAATTTCGATGTCGAGGTTTTTCTAATGCGTATGTATATATATATATATATTAAAACAAATGAATAAAAAGGCATTTAAGTGCATTTTATGCCATTGATAGTCACAGTTGATTGCAGTTCCGTAGAAAACCTTGACCGTTGTTTCATTTCAATATGTTTTCACAATGCTTGCGGTTTGGCTTCTGCGTTTTTACTCTTTTTTCTTTTTATTTATGTTTTGCTTTATTTTTAATTTGATTTTATTATAATTGTTCTGTTTTTCTTTTATGTTTGATTTTTCGCACATTTCACTTACCAGGCTGGAATATCTTTTGTAATATTTCTATGTGATCGTAAGGACGTGCTGTTGGTGTTTATATTTCGTGCGGAAACTGTTTGCAACAACAATAAAGCCGATACTAATAGCAGTCTCAGTGACAGGACATGATTTGGAAACATTTCACGTTTTGTACGTTTTACTATAATATTTTTTTGTAATTTATTTGGTTTTTTTCTCTCTTTTTTTTATTCTTTTGACTCAGCAATATCTTTGAGGTTTAATTGAATTGTTGTGTGTTTATAAAAATCTTTTCTTTTTTTTTTTTTTTTCTAAATATGCGATTTTATTTACCGCTTTCAGCAACTGACAGCAGCGGTCAGTCGTGTAATATGTACTTGCAATTAGGTGAAATATTTTCAGTGTTTATATAGATGCTCGTATTTGCAATGTATGTATGTGTGTGCACATGTATGTACGTGTATGTCTATGCATATATTCTTGCGTTTGTTCGCATGTGGAAGCATTGGTTTATGACGGAGTTTAAGATTAATCTTGCACATCAGTGATAAGAAATTCATACTAGCACACTACGAAGCTAATACCTCGCTACTACTACTACTACTACTAGTACGACTACTACTACCACCATTCGCAATATCAACAACAAACTAGTAATTGTGACAGTTTTGCACAAATATTTGCTTATGCGTGTGAATTGTGTTTTATAAATAGCACAAGTGGGTGAATTTTGTTTTTTGTGTTTGTATTTATATACATGTATCAATGTATTAAATATATGCATACAAAAGTAAATGCAAAGCATGCACGTGTACTTGAACGCTAGCTACGCTACGGATTTGAAAAGCGCAGGGAGCAGTAAAGTCGCGCCTTCATCATACCATAATGCTGTCAAAGCAAGTGAAAAGATTATAGTTGGACTAGGGCGACTATTAAATACTCTTACACCGCGTTGTCGAACACAATTCCTATTTTTGCCATAGAATACAAAAATTACACCTTGTTTTTACATGAACTCAGCATAGTTAATTTTTAGATCAAAATGCTATTATGAATAAATTTTCATCATAAAATATTAAAACTTGTTCTTTTCTACTTTAAAGGAAAATTTTTTTTGTGAAATGGAGTGGGATCCAAAAATAGGCATAGGTGTTCTCACTTTTGTAGAGATCAGTTTTATATCAAATTACTATTATGAGTCAGTTTTCCTCATAGCATTTTAACAAATATACACTTTAGTTAAAATGCTTACATAGAGTAGAATCCAAAAAGTAGACCGAGGTAGTCCAAATTCGGTACAGTTAATTTTTTTTTTTATCTTAAATTAGTATTATGATCTAATTTTCATCATTTCATTTTGTCAAACGAACTTCACCTCAGATCGGTTTCAACAAAATAGCCCTAGCCTGTCCAAAGTTTTCACATCAATTTGGAACGCCGAAATACTTTTACTTAGAGAAATTTTAAAAATTGGGATTTTTTCATATACTTCAAAATAGGGTGTTATATGGAGAGCAGGCGAAAAAGTGGGCGATCCAAACCACTTTCAATATCGTTCGTCCTTGGGTCAAAGCACTTTAGCAATACCAATTTTCATCAAAATATCTCAAAAGTTGGGATCTGTAGCTTGGGGATAAGTTTACATGGACGGACATCAAGCTTACATCAATGCGGAAAATGATTCTGAAGCGATGGGTATAATAAAAGGCGGGTCAATCTTAAGGCCTTCTCCGTGCTACATACGTCCGCACAAACTTAATATACCCCGTATCATATATGGTGTAGGACATGATTTATTGAATTCACTAAATCACAGTCTTTGTACGTCTCTTGAAATGCACTCGATAAACTGTAGGAAGAGTTTTCCATTTAACTTTGCAATTCGCTAAAGAGCCTTTCTCTTAATCATGATTTTTCGGATTTATCCAAATCTTTTTTTTCAGTCGGAAGTTTGCAATTTTCCTTCAGGGAGAAGAGCCACTTTTTGCTCAATTATCTCACTAATAACTAAATTCTTGCTTGTCAATCAGCGATGTCTTGCAAAAAAAAAAAAAAAAAAAAAAACCGGCCTCGTTTGAGCATCGTATCAGACGCGTATGTTTTTCTTTCAGGGAGCAAACCTCTAAAGCCTTTAAATATTCGTCAACTTTGGAGCAAATAGAGTGAATTCTTCGTCCCCTATAGCGATAAGATATAAAATAATTCTTAAAAGAGTCATTTTATTGAAAATGAAAGTCGTAGAAGAGCCTCTACAACCAGCACCAGCAGAAGAAAGCGGATCACTTCGGATAACACGTTTGGAAAACCCAGAACAAATATTCTCCTGGTTGGCTTATGAAATACCAAAAATATTAAAAAATTCATCAAATATGCATAACCTAACTTCTCAATTTCTCTCTCAGCTCGTTTGCAATTTATTTAAGCCTTATTTACGTTAAAAAAAAAGTTCGCGAAAGATGTATTAAATTGGTAAGTGGTAATTGCTCATATTTACACCCCACAGCACTTGCGGTACAACGGTGTATTGAGGGTCTGCAGGATTTGAGATAGACGTACCTTTTATAATATCGATCGAACCAAAATCACTTTCTGCATCGATTTAAGACTGTCTGTCTGTCCGTCCGGTTTGGTCTCTTGTATTCAATTTAAAGCTCGCTGTTTATGAGATATTTTGATGAATTTTGGTACAACGATTTATTTTGACTTAAGGAGGAGCGCTATCGCAAATGATTCCGATCGGACTACTTCCGCGACCACTTTCCATATGACACCGTATTTGGGAAATGGTTATGTGAACAACTCTACCGCATGTTTAAAACTACTTTGTGCACTGCTTAAATGCAGATATATCGTCTGCCTAAAGATGGGTTAATTTCAAAATAGCTATGGTAGTCACTGCGACCTGCCGGATTAAATTTTTTTTAATAATACCAGCGATACAGATATAAAATAAAAAAACTTAGAAGTAGAATTCGAAAAGCAATGAGTATGCAATATTCAGCTCCCGCCGAATATAACTTTCTTGCTTGTTTGAATTCGAAACATCATCGCGAACTATATTTACCCCACCAGTAGTCTACAAAACCCATGTGTGACGGACTGAATTTTCAGAATTTTTTAATTAAAATTTTGTAAAATATCTTCATAATATAAAAACAAGAAACTAAAAACAATTACACGATCCTATCTTTTGCGAAACTCCTATATATATAACTCTTCAATTACTGTCAGCCTGCTAGTGCAGAAGTCGCTTAAATGTCGCTGCGTATTTGATAGTAAATTGAGGGTATTGCACGCTAAGAATTACTATAATTATAGTATAATCGATATTTTTAACGCCAATTAAATGTTTCAGCGATTTTCAAACTTCTCTGCTCTTTTTAAAGATATTTTGAGGACATTTATTATGGTTATTAATGACGTTAAATGTAGTAGTACAAGATTAATCTTGACGTTATTATCTTCCTCCGTTTATTTATTTTTATAGTAAGATTCAATGAAGCTCAGCCCTTGGACTTGACAAGACTTTCCAAAGCAAAGCAAGTAGAGGAACAGGACATGGTCCACCATTAAATACTCTACACCAGTTCGCTTAACACCGTTAATCAAATAGTGCCGTTGGGGTCCGATCCGAAACGCTATTGAAGTTCATCAATATATATCAAAAAATGGAGCATATAGGTTGGACGCAAGAGAAGACGACAAACGGACGGACAGACGAACTTAGATTCCGATTTAGAAAATGATTCTGAATCGATCCGTGTAATAAAAGGTGAATCTACCTCAGGTTCTTCTCCGCACAAAGTTCATATAATTTTTTACCAAAAGAAGTGTAGGACATAAGAACCGATCTGATTGGCTCATTAATACCCATACTTGCAAATAATGAGTGATTAAAATATATTATTATCAAATTTTACTTACGATTGCTCTACGTCTGGTTGTATTCTAGAAGAGTGTAAAGGAAAATATTCGATTTAATTGAAATTCGAAAATTTTAAATCAAATTATTAAAGAGATGCTGAGGTGTTGATATTTGCAAGTTTTGTTTATTGTATGTAACGCGGAATCCGAAAACAAACTATAGAAACATCGGTCGAACTACATACACATGCCTGCGTAATGCATTTAAGCTTTGACACATACTCACTAAAGTAGGTTTTCTTTTATACTGATCACCGAAGGATGATAGGTGTATCCATTTTCTTAAAACGCTTGCAACGTTCGGAAGTAAGCATCAGAGAGCTCATAAAGCATATATATATGCTCGATCAGCATTGAATTTTAAATCGATTTAAGTATGCCCGTCTGTCCGGCCGTATAATGTCTCTTGTAAACATTCTCCTCGCCGCAAAAACTGGGCTACCGACTTCAAATTTGGCAGAAACATTGGAAGCTCTTGTGTACGCAGGTTAAACTGAGAACACCTCTGTTCCTCAAAAGGAATTAAAAATTGGCTTTTGGCTCATTACTCATAAACTGTAGCAGACAAAAATTTGAACGCATACTCTATGGGCGATTGTGCAGCACCTGTACAAAAAATGAAAAAAATTGACCACGCCTACTCGTGTATTACGTGGTGAAACAAGCTTCAAAAACGCGATAAGGTATACAAATTCTTGACCAGTTTCAAATGTGGAATGCACCTAAACATATCCTCTTGTTCGTCTGTCCATCTGTCTGTCTGCTCAACTTTGTAGTATTTATAGTAAACATGCTCACGTTAGCGAAACTAAAGATATCGCCTAGAAATTTCCAAAAGATTCTGGAATTGACCTAAAATTTTCATGACTGTACGACAAAAACCGTTCTTTAGAAATCAGAAAATATAGGTCGCGTCCGGTTCCTATTATAGAGCATGAAAATTTTGTTCTTTTCCTTCCTTTGCCTTTTTTAGGATAACGGCGATGGGGATTAGAGGGTCGGTCCCGACCGGACTTAATTTTCTTCCTTGTTCTCCTTCTCTATGTGCCAAGTGCAAGATACACATTACATTGCACTTGTGCGACAAGCAGATGTTTCTAATTTTAAAAATATTATAATTATATTTTTGAATTAATTTCTTTCAACGAAGGTAACAATATAATCAAAGGTAACAATGAATCAAGGGTTCATATAATAAACTGTTATAAGGAATGTGGTAAGACATCCTTACAAAAGATAAAAGAGTGCAACTTAGGAAATTAAAGCAAATTTGGATCTTGTGCTGCGATTACTTTGAAAGTTTAAAAATTCAACGTGACCGTGACCCCGGCCGATCAAGCTTTACTACCCACTGACATTATAATGCTTTCCAATTTATTGGGGCAACGATTTATATTTCTTGTCTTTCAATAGGCATAAATTGATTCTTGGTATTGAATTACGAGAGCTTCGACTTAGTTGCTTGTCTATTTTGAGAAACATTCTGGGTATTGTTTTAGGCTCTGTCGTAGATGATGTTGAAAAACTATGTTCATGTATTGGCAAAATGTTACGAGTATGTGTGCCTCAAGATGAGTAGGATGCTTATAATAGCGAAAAGATGAGAAACGTCTCTCTAAAAGTTGTTGGGAAATTCTTCAGTTTCAAGGCAAATTTTGCTATCATTCGCTTCTGAATCTCACCGACTTCTTCAAACATATAACACAATCTAATTTAATTGACATTTTCGTAAACGATAGTCACTGTTGCGTGTCGCCTACTGACCATGGGTGGCATTAATATGCCCAATAAGTATCGAAACTTCTTAGATAAAAAAATACTGCGTTCATATTACTTTCGATTAAACCTTGCCTTTTACTTCCGTTGTCTCGCTTTGATTGTAATCTCCTCTGGCTTTGGCCTATGTCCTGTACCTAGTATTCCCAGGGTGACAGCGATACAATTATGGCTCTACTTAGCTTACAAAGGCATTATCGCTATTACGTTCACGACGGATGTAAATGAATTAAAGAAATTCAGTTTGCAGCTCCCCCAATGCTTATGAAACTGTTAACGAGTTAATTATTTGCTAATAAATCATTTATATTGAACTGAGATATCTGACCTTTTAACGACATTGGAAGTTTTAAATAAATCATAAGAACGCAAAACAAAAAAAATTGATTACAAATTCGTTGAATTAACTACGTTTTTAAGTCATATTACTATTGAGAGTAATTTCTGTTTCAGTTAAGCTCATTCGCGGAAGTAAACAAATAGCCAACCAACTACGAGGTTTCATCAAAAAAATTCACAGAAATTTCAAATTGGTGATCGCTAATAATAAGCCAAGCAATCAATTTAGATAAACTTAAACACACAGCTTGTGTAGAAACATCAAAAAAAAAAAAAAGAAGAAAAATGGAACGTAAATAGCTCGTACTCGATTTGCGATGTAGCCCTTTTAGCCCATTCACCGCCCAACAAATTTAGAGTTTCTGGCCGTAAGTACAAAAATGTTTTTTAAAGAAAAAACTGAATGGCCGAACAGGCAAAGAGTTTCGACAAACAACTCATTGGTCGTAGGTTCAAGTCCCAAGTGCAGTAGAGTTTTTAATAAAGCCGATAGTCTTAGAGGTGCAAGTGTGTTAAGATATTAGTCTTCGAATTTATCCCCTGGCTAAATTAATAACAGTAATAATATAATCCGTTCACTGCCAACTACGAGATATCTCGTTATCAAGTTAGGTATGTAACCAAACAGCCGGTTACAAGGTATCTCGTAGTTTGAGCTACAAATTTAATTTTTAAGCGAATATATTGTTGCCGTTTGAGTTACCTAATTATTGCTAGAAAGAATGAATGTAAAAAATACTTATGTATTTATAATGCATATCAAATAATCATGCATATCAAATTCTTGTAGCGTAAACTACAAGATATCTCGTAGTACGTAGCCTTATCGCGTGGACTCATCATATTTTTATAAAACTTGGTAGCAATTCTTTACTAATTGGACAACGTAACAACTCTATCGGCTTGATTCGCTTTTCAATAATTATGGATGAGTTTTTGGAGAGAGTTTGTTAAGCAAATCGTAAGATCTGTGCCTTTTTGTATTCATGATTACGAGGAAGAAGGAGAAATTTATTATTTGATGATTGTTTCATACTATATATCGAAGGACTTTACTATTTCACTGCAGATTTTCGATGTTGACTTGACGGGACCAAAAAAAAGAAACATTTGACCTTCGTTTTTTTGTTTTGTTTTTGTGTACAACATTTTTGAAAAGCCAAAGTAACTTCTCATCGCCAAGTCGTTGTGGCACTTATATGCGTTAAGCTTTTTCATTAACCCTCGTACATTTCAATATGTTCGTATGTAAACTTTTTAAATAAAGGTAAAGGTGATTTTATTACAAAAAAATTGTATTTAAATAGATTTTTAATGTCATGTTTTCAATTTGAGCAAATTAAAATTCTGAAAGTGACATTAATAGCAAAATGCGATGCACATATATAGTATGAATAGCAAAGATACACTAGCGTCTTAGTTCATTCATTTTTTTTTTTTTTTTTTTTTTTTTTTGATATATACGACAAGAGGGTATGTCGTTCGATTGCCTACAATTAAAAATTCTAGAGAATTGTGCGTGTAAGTGAAAATCATAACAATAA